AACAACTACGAACTTGTTTCCTACGAGCTTATTCCTCTGGATGCGAAAAACGGACATTTAGGGGAATATTTCCAACTAAAGATCGACATCACGCAAAATGCTGAATCCGAAAGGCTGGATGTTTTTGCCAAATTAATCAACATCAACCACTCGCTACTGAAGGAAGTGCTGGAACGTGGACCTTCGAAGAAGGAAGAATTCTTCTACATGGTATTGTTGCCCAAAATGCGCCAGCTCGGCATGGGAGAGTTGCTGGATTTTGCGCCCAACTGCTACCTTTCACGGGTGGACGATATTTTGGTCTTGGATGATCTCACCTTAGCAGGCTTTGTGTGTCTCACTCCGAACATCAAGCTGGATTATAGCGCGCTTAAAGTGGCCACCCGACAATTCGCCAAACTTCACGCCTGCAGCCTTATCATGGAAGAAATCCTGTCCAAACAGGCAGGCAAGCGGGTCACATTGTACGATCTATACAGCGAGTATCTTCAAGAGGTGCTGTTTCTTCCGGATGTGCCGGATATGAAGCGGGGCTTCCAAGGAGCTACTAACAATATTGTGTACATTGGCACAAAGTTTCCAGAGATCGCAGGGAAGTATACCAGTGAGGAATTGAAGAAGAAGGTCCAGAAAGGCTGGGACCTGGCTGTGGAGAGGATTAAGGCCTCAAAAAAAGTGAAAAATGTAATCTGCCATGGAGATGTGCACGTTGCGAACATGCTATTTAACTTGGGGGCAAATAACGAATGTGAGTCGGTAAAACTCATCGACTTCCAGCTGCTGCGCTACTGTCCTCCCACTCATGACCTGATGTTCTTTTTGTACCAAAACACCGTTAAATCCACTTTAGACCAATATAAACCCGAACTGATTGAGGAATACTACAACGTCCTTTCAGGCAGTTTAGAAAAATTCAACCTGACTGTCAATGAACTGTACCCCAGAGAGGAATTCGAAGAAAGCCTGAAACTGCTCAAAGTCCAAGCCATTTTCCACGCCTTCCTCTACTCGCCCATGCAGAGTCTGGACCCAAAGCTGCGTGAAAAGCTCTTCAGCGACCCAAAATCATTTGAGAAACTCAAAGAAAATCGATTTGGGCTCATCGATATTGGCTTGGAGCTGGAGAGTTACAGGGAGGTGATGAAGAGCCTGTTGTCGTATGTTATTGAATTATGCGATGCTGGAGAAATATAAGAATTAAGTTTATATTAGTGGTTGTAAATATACGTTTTATTTTCAAATAGCTTTTTTATTGCAAATAAATCAATTTTTTTGCTGCGCACAGTCATTCAGACCTGCAGCACCTGAGCGCAGATTAACAAAACTGTTGCTCTTAAACTTGTCCTTAACTGATACAATTTTGATTGGCTAAAACCTGTTTAGAACCTCATTGAGCACTTTTGAAATAAAAAAAGATAAGCACACACACAATATACGACATAAACTCTTTGTGGCTTAATTGGTTTTAGACCTTGCTGATATCAGTTAAATACAAATCAGTAATGCGTCGCAATTTGCAGCTCCAGGTGCTTATTTGATAATTTTCACTTAATAGTCAAATACGTTGCTCCTGAACGATTAATTGAATTGATAAAACTTATTGAAACATCATTTCGTGCTATACATGAATTGTAACTTTTCCAGATAATCGAGCAAGGCCATCGCCTCATTAGAATCAAACTATTCCCCTACACACAATTGAATAAATAAAACCTCACGTGCCACTAGAAAGATAAAGTTGTAAAACAGATTGGAAATTAGGCAAGATATTTGGTTAAATTTTCGCAAAATCCTTGAAATCCACATATGGTTGCTGGTATGCAGATAAATGACGTGTGAATGTGCCGAGTCATAATGATGTAGGATATTACTATTACATAAGCCATTAAATGGGGGCATTTTTTCGTAATTTTACCAAACCATCAAGCATAATTATAAAGCAATTTTTAAATTTTAATGTTCGTGTTTAACCAAGTTTACCGTCCTTAACAGAGATTTATGTGGCGATTATTTTCTGTTGCAACAAATCGTTGAAAACTGCTGTTTTATTGGTCTGCAGGAAAGAATCGGCACTAAAACAACTTTGAATTATTATTGAAATTGGACTTAAAGAAGCGAGATTTGCTCTTGTATTTCTAGAGGTTAACAATGGTTGATAAAATTTACTAGTGAAAAGACAGGTAATTTTCACTCTGCCGCCTATTTTTTGCGATTTCTATCGGAGTTTCAAACAGTGTTCAAGATATAACCTTTTAAACTTGATTTTACTTAAAAAAATCATTTTTTGCTTCCTTACTCTTTAAAGGTTAGGAAATTGAATATAAAACGTTTTAAACACTTTTTCGAAATCGCAAAACCATCGATTATTTTGCACGAAACGTTGATTAAATGACATTTTTCTTGGGGCCTCATTCGCGCCCAATGATCCTGCCATATTTCAACCAAAAACCAAAGAATTTCTCAAGTTTTAGCCGGACGTCTTGAAAAAGTAAACCAGATGAAAAAACATCCATACACCGAAATAAAATTTTGATTTTTTTGAATAATCTGAATGAAAAAAAATCTGCAAACGAGCAAAAAAACTACAATGAGAAAGCTATAAAGCCTCTCGGGCCAATTGAAAATGTGTTCAATTTTACACTTTAGCACGGCTTAATTTTGACTTTGCACGTGCAGAAATCGCTTAAGTACGGTCCTGATTATACGCTTACGAGGCCTTTTAAACAATTTCATGATGGCATGTTTTCCCAACGGTAATTAAGAGCGAGGATAAAATCGTACCGTCTTAGCTCGTGTGTGGTGATCAAGGCCAGTCCAAAAATCATTTTGCATCATTTCACTGCAAACTGTTTCACATACATATTTCATCTTGAAATAATGCATATTGCGGTGGCCCAAGAAAAAATCCAGTTTTATGGAAGCAAACATAAGTTTATCACAATTTAATGCAAATATTGACATCGCTGATAACCCACTGACGATGTTCTGCTTTGGTCTCAAATTAGAATATTTAAGCCGCATTAAACAATTCCTAGTGAAGTTGATTAGATGGCAAGTGAAAGTGATCAGCCAGACGAACTCCAATCGCTTGCCATGGAGGAGAAAATCGACATCGAAGACTTAACTTTGGTAGTGGAACGGAAGGTACAGCACAAGGACTTCACCATCCGAACTCACAGTCTGGACTACATGAGCGAAAGAATTGGACTTGATGGTGACCACGCCCTCCTCACCATCACCATCTTCAACACCATTAAAGAAGTTGAAGAAGCTTTAAGCTTCTTCGTCAAACTGATTCCCAAAGGCGAGTCCCTTGCTGGAGGAATGCAGGAGGAATTCAGTTACGGCTTGTTTAAAGAGTTTGAAAAAGTCGGTATTTCCCTCATTCATCAATGTGTCCCTAGGTGTCTTCTGGTGAGACCCAGTAGCTATTTAGTTCTGGAAAATCTGCAGCTGGGCAGCTATGCACTTCTTGATAAAGCCCAGTTGCTAACCTATGAGCAAGTTACAGCAGTGTTGCAGTCGCTAGCTAAGCTACACGCCAGTAGTCTTATTTACGAGGAAACCCTCTCCACGAGCTTGTCGGCTAATAGGAATGAGGACATTTTTCGAGACAGATTATTCAGCGACAGTGCAAGCCTGGACAGTTCCTTAAAATGCATCCTGACAGAAATTGAGCTTTTCCAACTTCCAGCAGAGCTAAAGGGAGGAAAACCAGCAGCGGAAGCCATCAAGGAGCTGTTGAGCAAGCTCACCCAAATGGTTGAACCTTCTGGCAAATTCAGGAAAGTTTTCTGCCACGGGGATTTATGGGCGGCAAATTTCCTGCTGCAACCCGGCAATCCCACCCAGTGTAAATTCGTGAACTTTCAAATGTGCCGCTACCTCCCACCTGCGCACGATGTGATGGGTTTGCTCTTTCGAAACACCTCTCGCGAGTTCCGCAAAAATCACCTTTACGAGCTAGTCGGCATCTACTACAGCTACATGGAAAAGATCCTGAAAATCTTCGACTACAAGCTCACTGAGCTCATCTCGTTCTCGGACTTTCTGGATTCCTGCGAGGAGCAGAAACTTGTTGCGGTACTGATCACTGCCCTCATGCTTCCATTGGTTTTAAGTCAGGGGGAGAAGTTTTCAGAAGGTCAGTTTAAAGAAGATAGAAGCCACTTGGTTTTGGATTTAGTGGAAGATGAGGCTATTTTGAGTCGATTGAGGGAATCCATTGAGGACTTGTTGGAGGAGTGCGATAAAGTGAGGTGACTGATTTCGGTTGTATGATCTGAATGTCAACTGTCACAAAAACTGAACATTGTCCCTGTTCCGAGGTTAGTGAAGGAATAACGTCAAAACGTCATCAGTTTAGATGACCGAAAACGTCAAACTGTTGTTGTCCATCATGTAGCTGTCAATTATACCACAAAATATTTTTTAAATGGTGAGTAATAAGAGGCAGTAGCTTAAAAACCAGTAATTTTTGGTAGAAGCTATTGTATATAATTTCCGTGCAGTTCTTGCGCGTCTTCAACTTCAGCTATTGACCAAAATGGTTAAATTTTTATTGTTGATGTTGGTTATTCAGTATAAGGGCAAAGGATGTGACCAGATGCAGTAGTTTTAGTTAAGTTTCTTGATGTTAATTGAATATTTTATTAAATATTGCTTTCTCTTTGTTCTTTCTTGCTAAATAAATTGCTACATCATTTCCCTTAAAAATAACTTTTTTTTTCAATTAGTGAGCAATCTCCAAGAATGGAAGCCAATGTGCATGATCCATGGCGTGCATATATACAGGGTGCGCCAGTTATAATCTAACAAAAGCCAGTTCATAAAAAAGTTCATGCTTAGTCGCGTCATTTCGCTTTTGAAAAGTGGTAGGCCACTGATGTTCTCGGAATTTTTTAAAATCCCCCGGTCTTTTCTTTTATAATATTCTGCAAGTTTTTTAATGTAGCATTTGGAAGGACATTTTAACGGAATTTCTTCGGATGGACTTTTTTTACTTTTCTAGGCTTTTCCTATAATAACCATATAATCGATCTTGAAAATACCAAAAAATTGTTTTTCAAAAACGAACAAAAATTATTTGCCAATTACGTGCATTTATCATAAACATTGATTTAAGCAAAATATGCTTTTTATATACCTTTAGAATCTGCGACTTTCTTTGTTTTATTTACAAATTATTAGAGTGAAATATTTTTTGGAAAAACTCGTTTGGTTTGAACGTAAAATTGAAGATTTTTACACAACAAAATGAAAAGGGCATTAATGCACATCGTAGTCTACTGCTATCGGGTGATCCAATAATATTTATTGCAGTTTTAAATACTTTATTAACTTTATTACTTATAAAAAAGTGTTAACTGAAATAAATGGTTAAATTGCTTTTAAGAATTAGAGCAGTTCTATTGTATTCTATTCTGATAGACATTGTGTGAATGTAAATTAGAAAATTAGGACAGAAAAACAGTTTGCTGCATTAATTTTTGAATAAATTTGACTTCTTGATTTTTTCGCCTGGTCAACGGTTTTTGCATAAAAAATTAATCTTTTGGGTGAAAAAATCGTAGCATTTTTCCAATAAAACCTGGAGGTCGAACTTGCTCAGCAATGAGCGCAAATTCCAAAATTTTTATTTCAAGAGAAAGCAGTAGCGTACAAATCTTTCCTTAAAAAATATAGAGAAATAGAGGCAATTATACGTCGAATAATCAATCGTGGGGGCAAACTTTGCGACATAGAAGGTTGCACAAAGACAAAGGCAACTAAGTAAAAAAAAAGCCTGAGTGGGTACTGGACATAAAACCTTCCGACGCCATTCCAATGGTAAACATTTATAATGTGCACATATGGATAAAAGATTGTTTTAAATCGCTTACCTCCGTTTTATTCCGGGTATCCCTAATGGCTTTGATCATGTGCAAGCCCATTTCCACACAGCAATGAGCATGGTCGGATCGGGGAACTGGCAAGCCGGAAACACAGTAGTAACAATCCCCCAGGAGTTTAATTCTTAAACAGTGATTCTCCTGGAAAAGTTAAAATGCCTTATAAAGTTGATTTTCAGCTTGATGAACGCAACGGGACAGGGAAAAGCTCTCTGAATAAATCAGCGAATACTTACAGCTGCCAGTTTATCAAAACGGGCGAAAAGTTCGTTCAGGATTTTCACCAGCTCCTGGGCAGTGCATTTAGTAGCCAAAACTAAATGTGGAAATTTTAGCAAAGGTGAGAATTGATAAATTGTCACGAGTTTACCAGTAAAGCCCTTAATGTCTGCAAATAAAATGCTGACGTTCTCGTAACGATGGATGTAGATTTTGTGGAATTGATGCGGTTGGAAATGACCGCCGCGCTCTTCACGCTCAATGTCCCTGATCATTTCTTTGGCCACAAAGTCCGGCAAAACTGGAAAAACACCCATAAAAATCCACCAGATTAAAAGCGCAAAACACCTCACCTGATAAGAGAAGTTTTTCCTGCTTGTCGTTTTCCGCCTGGGTTCGGTACCTCATTTCCATAGAGCGATGGGTTTCCAGAAAAGCTTTCCTCTGGCTCCTATCGGTTAAATATTTTGTGTACATGCCCGCAAAATTCACGCACATGTACAAAATGACGTTGGCGATTATTCGCTTGATTTTGCAAGAATCTTCTTCGTCTAACTGCAAAAAGAAATTTGTATAATTAGTGTTGCCATCCTTGGCTATTTTTGCGTCACATGTCACTTCGTTTAATACGTTTTCGAGGTCTATGTTATTAGTAAATTAACCAGAGATTTTTCTGTGGAAAGAACCCAGTGAATATTCAGCATTTCTTCCTTCCTCCATAAAAATCCTAAACGAGTTTGCAACACTCCACGAATCTAGTAAATATTGCATGGGTAGTTGAACATTTATACCTAAAACAAATCGGATTTTCCCTGCTGTAAAGCAATTTATTTACATTACAAATTGCTGACACCAAGATTTGGTTGAATTTTCGATGGTAATCGATCATAATTCCAAATGTATCTGCTTCGCTTCTTATCTAATGTGGTTAATGAGTTGCCGTTGACTCTACACAGCCGCCCTAAAAATCTCCTTATAGCGAGATCCAAATATTTAATTTAAATTGATTCAGGACGAAGAAGATGCTAAAAATAAGTGATTAATGCTGCCTACCAGAACATATGTACGCATTTCCGCATTTTCTCTTGATCGATTTCACGGCATTTCATCGGAAATTCCATGGCTTACTTTCCTAGTCTACACTATCAAAGTTTTGCCTAAATTGGGTAACTTTGAAAATCTTTTAAATGAACTTTAAACTCGATTTTAGTCGATAAGTTTTTTTTGCTGCTAGGTATAAATGAAACATTTAATACAAATTTACCGGGTGAATAACGCAGTTTAAAAACACCCTGTGCTCATAAATAGCCATCAGGATCATCTAAATAACAGCCTTGCGAATGAGTAATTTTCAAACATCCGTTTTAATGAGGGAGAAAACACATTAATGTGCACATGCAAAAGACTCTCGAGAGAAACAAGAAGGTTTGCTGGAAAGAACTTTTCCTGGCTCGACTTAAATTCTGACCATATTTCCTGCAGGTTTCAGGAATAAATGCAAATCAACATCAAAAGCTTTATTACTTTTCCAGCACAT